TTAGTGATAAAATTCTACATGAATGTCACAATTTAGCGCGACAGGTCAAATTGTTACTCAACGACAAAGTAGCCTGGATTCATCAACAGTCAATGATATTATTTTTCTTCCTTCGGTCGAGAACAGATTTTCTTAAATTTTTTTTTTTTGACTTATTTAAATATGGGTCGAACACTAGAGAAGAGTGGCTTAACTTAAGATTGAATTAACCAATCACATTGCTTAAATCAACCTTAAGTTAAGTCACTTTTTCTAGTGTGTTTGACCCCTATACTTGACTATACGTATCTATTTTTCTTGTAAAAATAAATAATTATTAGTGATATATTTGAAGATCATCAAAATTATATTTTTATAGAGACGAGTGAGAATCAGTTATCATCACGAGGAGAGAATATTGTTGAAAAAGCTATAATAATTGAAAATAAATAATATGACTTTTTTCATGAAATATAAACCGAATCGAATCGAATCGAATTGAAATTTTTTTTCTATCGAATCGAATCGAGTCGAATATAAAAATTTGGAAACGAATCCGAATCGAATCGAATAGAGTAGAACTTTTGTCGAGTCGAATCGAATCAATTTGACATTTTGAAAAAGTAGATCGAATCGAATCGAGTCGAATCCAAGTCCAGTCGAATCGAACCGAACCGAATCTAACTTTTTTCATATTTTTCGCGCCCTGACTCCTATATAATAGGACTTGAGGGCTTAAGGGTACTTCCAAAATATAGGACTTGACGACCTAGGGATATCTCCAAAATACAGGGATTAAGGATCTAGGATACCCTAAAAACTTATTTTGCACTGAGGTAGATTCAAAGTAGTACCCTGCAGAGAAACAAATAAGCATACAAACATACATTCAAAATCGAGATTAGGATCCTACCTACAGTCAAGGATATATTCGTATTGTGAATCCAGAGAATCTCATGGCGATCCAGAGAACCCATAGGAGCCCAGGATCCGACAATCCGCTTTTTCTCCCGTGTCGACACTCCTTTTGGATCGTGTTTCACAAAAATTTCAAGTCTGTTTTTCAATAATTACTAAGCCCAACTCATATTACATTCGATGTATTCCTGTTGTACTTCGTGTACTCCCATCGTACTCCCTGTACTCCACGTACTCCCATCGTACTCCCCGTACTCCCTGTACTCTCGGTACTCCGGAGTACAGGAGTACGCAGTTTCTTCCTTGGATAACCGTCAATTCGCTAGATCTAAGAAAACCATAAAATGCCAGAACACAGGCTATTTGCAACAAAAGATCCTAGAAGGGAGTGAAGAAGCAGTATTGAAGAAGATCGAATAATTTGACTAAAATTAGGAACGTGATGAGTAAGCGAATACGAGTAGTAGTGGTTGTCTGCTTTTTGACAGCACGCATCACCACTTCAACTTGCTTGGAGAATTCTGGGAGTGAATTCACGCCTGGTGAGAGAAGAGCAGCTCTACTGACGTGATATCTGATCGCAGACAAGTATAATTTTATTGTGCCGTATTTCAATTTCAAGTTTTTAAAGCAATGAGCGATAAAAAGGATGATGAGTTCTTCATTAATCTTGGATGTATGATAATCTGAATTGTGCTGCCGAGCACAAAGTTCGAATTGACGGAAACCATTACTTGTAACGAAATAAAAGATGAGTGGGATCATTGCGTTACCGTAGCTATGGTTGTTACATTTATTGTTAAATGAGAGACTGGAGAAGTAACGTTATCGCTATTCCTGGTATAGATGTTAGCTACACCACTACATCAATCCAGTCCTCTTTTTCACGAAGAACATCACAATATATAGGAGAGTGCGAAGAATAGACCAAGGCAATTACATTGACAGAACAAAAGGAAAGAAGAAAGTTATCGATTACAAGGAGAGAGTAATTGAGAATGACGCAAGTTTGTCCTCTATCTTTTCGCAAGTCAGGAGCAAAGATAAATCCTTGTCACATGATTTGTGAAAGATAGTGCTGAATCAATTTCATACCTATCTAGCTGTGTCCTTCTTATTGGCACACTACTGTAAGAAGCAAGAGTGGAGAAAACATAGGCAGAATCCCACAAGTCGAGCACTATCTCTTTTAAGGATACAACAGCAGATATTGTGTAAGCAGTGGACACGGCAACTGTCGTGCATTGGGTGCTAAACATCGGAATTTGGCTATTTGAAAACGTGAAAGACAGTCAGCAATAGCATTACCACGACCTGGAATGTGGACAGCTGTCATAGAGAAATTGCGTTGAAGAGTGCCTAACGCCAGGCGTCGCAGAAATCTCATGGGACCACTACACGATGTGTGTCCTTTATCTATCATCTCGACAACAGGCTCGTTGTCTGTGTGGAAAACGATAATTTTTCTAGTCCAATACATTTCCCATAGCACGGCGTTGGCCACAATTGGAAACAGTTCGAGTAGCGATATAGACGGATTAGGTTCTAGTTCATATTTAAACTTCGGCCACTCGTGATTAAACCATTCTCCTTGGTAGAAACCATCGCATCCGAATGAAGAAGAAGCGTCGGTAAACAAATGCATATCACTAGATACAGTCAGTCGAGTATTGAGAAAGAAATTGCAGCCGTTTCAGCCTTCGAAGCATGCTGACCACATCGCGAGATCGATATGACATTCAGCATTCAAGTCTGCTTTATGATGAAGCTCTCCGTACGATTTGGCAAGCGTTAGTAAGTATCATAAAAAGGCACGACCAGGTACAAACGACCTTAAAGACATAAGCTAGGATGACCAATTAATGAAAGATATTCATGCTTAGTACATTTTGTTCTAGTCGAGAAATTCTTCACCAATAAGGCTGTGCGACTACGTTTGTTCTCTGGTAGTCTTGCATGCACATGTTCCGAGTTGAGGATGATGCCTAGATTTTCTAATTCTGTGGTAGGGCCGCACAATTTATTCTCCGACAGCGGGATTCGGAGTCGAGCAAACATCCGGATCAACAAATTCATGTTCTTATCAAGCCACACTTATGGTCGCACGAGAGATAGAAAATCATATAAGAGATGTAGAGTAAACGAGATGCCGCAGTTATGTTGTGCAGTTCAACATAATAGGCAAGAGAAATCATCAAATATTTTGGTGAACTTCTGCTTCTAAACATCAATCGCGTATAAAAATAGTATTGACCTTCCCAACGAATGCCTTGAAAAGGCCAGAGATTGGATCGAACTGGCAATAATTTGAACGCGTTCTTAATATCCAATTTATACATGGATGTAGCTTTGCCCAATTTCAAAATAATATTTTGTGCATCATCAATTCGCACATATTGAAGAGAGTAGTCTTCTTTCGGAATCATCGAGTTTAGACTGACGTGCTCATTCGAATGATGAGGAGAGGATAAATCGACAAACAGTCGTTTCTGTTGGCTGTATTTACTTGTGACAAGACCGATCGGATTCACGCGATATACTGGAAACGGTGACTGTTTGAAAGGTCTAATTAGGAAATATTTTATACATTCTTCATTGATGAGACGAGTGACTGTGTCAGGATTCTGAAGTGCCGAACGCAAGTTTTTACATTCATACGAATCCCGGGGCAGCATGCGTAAGCCTATGTCAAATCCGAATTTTAGACCATTCAGTACTCGAGAGACGAGGTCGGGATCAGGATGGTTGATTAATTCGTCCTCAAAAGCCTGTATATTGACTAGAGTGGATGTAGTCCAGTCTAAATTGACAAGAGAAAGAATGAACGTTTGACATATATTTCACACTGAATATCTCAAGTACACATACACACAAGTATCACCGAGAAAACACTGAATAACAGTTGAGGTCAATAGTCAATGCTTCGCAATCGCGTTGCTAGCGTTTGTTGATGGTTGTTGAATTTGATTTGCGTTAGATGGTGACCCGCAGAGTTTACTCATATTGGATCCTTTGCACGAAAGGTAGACACGCGCACGACGACACAATGAATTCGTGCAAGTGTGCAAATTTTAACTTGATCAGCTGTGAAGACTCTCGGTCGACCACGACTATCAGAATGCGAGTTGCGCATCAGCAAAAGAGAACGAGATGAATCGCGAAGCATAGAATTATCAACATTGTTAATTAACTCTCGTAAATTACGAATGTCTTTCAATCCTTTCTCATTCGCTTGATCACAAAAAGCCGTTCCGTGTTCTGTTGATCCACAGCAATTGCATCATCATGCTGCACGACCGCCAAAGATATTATTGTACAACTTAGTGTCGATCATGCTCCAATTAATCACGGTGTTTCTCTCGATCGAACTCGCTGCCTTAGCAGCAAATGCTCGATGATAACTACAAAAGAGTTACAGAGAGCGATTGGTATGCAGAGTGGTTAGCAACAGATTGAATATCTCAAATGGACAAACTCACATAATAAAGAAAAGAATACCAGCAGCAGCAATGTACTAGAAAAGCATACATACTTATAGAAACAGATACCGAAGTGAGTATCCATTTCAATCAATATATTTTGATGCGCAATCATTTCGGATCGTCGATTCGGGTAAGCCGAACAAAATACACTGCAGAACTTTCCCCATGCGATTAAGAATTACGAGATGGTCAAGGATTTTTTCAAACGTTTGCTTTCCTTGCCATCTTTTACATAAACGGTAGACCCATCCGTAAATTCGACATGAGCACTATCCCACAGTAACAGCAGTACAGCGATATTGACTAACTTCCCAGCTAATATATCTGTCTCCCATTTGGAATGAACATAGGTCGCTTCCCACTCATGAGGCGACTTATGGGAGTTAACTGTAGATAAATCATTTGTAATGAACATATTTTTTTAATTTGTTTGATTGTTAAACCAACATGAGATTGAGGTGAATAAATGATGTCATTTACAATCTGTTGACCTGCCCATAAACGGGCCAACATAATAAAAGTAGAATTCCACCTGATGTAGAAGTCATTTATCAAATCATTTGCTTTGATCTTTTCTTCATTACCATCAGGATTAATTGCTGCATCAAGGTCAATTTGTCGTCATTTTATTTCATTACGAACAAATGTTGTCAATATACTTGATTCAGTTATCATTTTGATTAATTTACGAATTTTTTTAAATAAATTGGAAATCCTTTTTTTAAATTTGTCAGGATTTAATAATAATTGTTCTACTTCTTCTTGGTCTTCTACTTCTATTCGACTATCTTTTTGTGATTGTGTTAATGTTGTATTATTATCATCATCAGAAGTATCTGAACAACTATCAGTTTCATCTAGATCACCTAATGTTGGTATATAATCACCATCACCATCATCTTCGTCATTTAGATAATTTTCATCGTGATTAACTCATTCGTCAACAATCACATCGATATCGACAAAACGTGATTTTTCTATATCATCATCAGAATCATAAATATGTTCATTAAGTGCTGTTGTTTTTGATGTTGCTGATGATGATGGTGATGTTGCTGTTACTATTATTATTTCATCTTTTTTACTAAATACAAAATAAATACGAATATTTTTAATATAATAAATCATCTCGAAGAAGTCTGACGATGATGAAACAAAAAACTGAGAACATAATAACTATAATACAATAAGAAAAATGGACTCATTCAAATATATTATATGAGTTATATTTCTCGAAGTTCATTGATGATGAAATAATCAGTATTGAACTACCCTATTTTATTTAAAATATGATCTTGATTTATCTTTTCGATGTTGTTTTTTTCCATAAATCTAAACCAGTTGATATTGTTCTATTAATATTATGAGCATTGCAAGAAGATCTTATTCCGAATTCTTGTGATGATGTTATGGATTTGATATCACTACCATTATCGGTTGTAATAGAAAAAATTTTTGTTTCGATTTCTAATTTTTTAATTTTCCGAATAATAAGTTTTTTTAATCGAGCACTCAAGTGTCGACCTCGAAAAGATCGAAAGGAAATAACATCTGAAAATGTTTCATAATGTTCATTATAATAATGAGCAATAATTACTAAGAAATGATGTCGTCGAGAATTCATCCAAAGATCTGTTGTTAAAGATATAAATGGAACTGTTTTAAACTTTTCTCTTAATGGAGATCTTCGTTCTTGGTACATTTTATCTAAATGTTTACGAACAGTTTGTCTGGATGGTCCACAATAACCTGGTTTAATTATATCAAGAAAATGTTGCATTCCAGGACGTCGAAATGTTCCAAATGGTAAACCATCCTTCACTATGCATTTAATTGCAGCTATATCAAGTTCTTTTTTCACGTGTGGTAAAATAGAAGCTTTCTTTTCAAGATTCTCACGTTGTTTAATTTGAGATGGATATAAGTAGCAATAAAAAACATGTTTAAATCCAAGATGGCTTCTTAAGTTTGTATCCGAAAATGGATTATATTTACATTCCTAAACGAGAGATATAACAGATAGAAAATGAAGTAAAAGTTTAAAAAAATTGTAAGAGACTAATTCAATTTTCCTTTATATGATCCTCAAAACACCTCTTTACTTTTTACTCAAAAAGATCAATTAGGTTTATTCAAACTATAAAGCGCTTTACGTCTGATTTTTTAAGTAAAAATTAAGAAAAAAGATTTTCTTACACGTGAACAAATGGTACATTTGACTCTATCAGTACCATTAACACGTGTAAAATATTCAATTGGTTGCTTTTGTAAGTTTTTATTATTATTGAAATCTTCAACAATAATAGTATCAGCACTAGCATTTGATGTATTAAGAGGATTTTGTTCTTCATCTTCATAATTTTTGGATGAACTTGAATTATGAATATCATTGATATTTGAATATTCCATGTCTGTTTGTAAATCAACATCATTTTCTTTTTGTTTGCTTCTTAATTGTGGTGTTCCTGTAGATGATTTTCTTGAACTATGAGAAACACCTTTCTTTGAAATTCCATCTTGAACGCTAGACCGACGTCGTAGGCTTGAAATATCCTGTGAATTAATTCGAGATGAACTTCTGCGACCTAATATCAGCATATCAGGATTATCGGATGATGATGATAATTGATCATTAGTGGTATTATTATTAATTCTTTTTTTTTTCGAATATAATTAGTATGTTCGTTGAAATGTGTTTAAATGCATTTTAGCTCGTTTACAAATACTTATATGTATTCGATATCACCCTCGAAAGTAGACGCAACAGTTTTTCTGTATGTTTTGTCCTTTCATTAATGGACGCCCGGCAATTACAATCATTAAGCGCATACATTAAGTTTTTTTCTGTCCCTCTTTCCTTCTTTCCTTCCTCTCTGCCTCTTTCCCCTCTCTCTTTTCCTCCTCTCTCTCTTTTCCTCCTCTCTCTCTTTTCC